TTTATTAGTAAATTGCAACATTGCTTACGTGTTGAAAGCTGGTAAACTATATTTCAATATTGTTTTATTGCGCAGATATGAAGCGATAATTTGTGTCTGTACTATACCTTGCCATAATTCCAAGACTTGATTTGTTGGAGTTCTTGTGACAAGTTTTCACATGTCTTAAGCTTATCAATCAGACACTTGCAATCAGTCGGCTGTGGAGAAGATGGAATAATTAGACACTACTATAAACGCCACAAAGAAGATGAATAAAAAGTACCAAGCGTTACTTTAAAGTGCAGTTGGAATTTTATATAAATTAGATAAATACATTATAACAGTGCTCAAATAACTAAAGATGTTATAATCGTATCAAGCAAAGCGCTTCAACCAAAAGTTACTTATTTTAGTTGCATGAAAAAAAGTATAGCTGGATTTGAATCTGCAGCCTCTCGCTATAAGGCGAGTATCATAACATTACACCAGAAACCTATATGGTATAGGTGCAAATCTAACCCCCAGACGCTTTCTCTCATACAACTGGCTTATACGCTCACACACAGTGAAGCTGTGGTTAACTAATGTAGAATGTTGAAACAGAAGAAGCTAGAGAAAAAACCCAAAGTGGTATTAGTGGTAGAGAAAAACAGAATCAATGATTTAAAAGATGGTACTTGAACCAGATATAAATTGTCTTTGTTTAGGAGTTCATAAAGTGTCTTACAAGGCAACTCGTAACTAGATTGGCAAAGGGGAAAGAATTACGCACTTCCACACAGCAGTCACTATGTTAAAAGGAAGGCAAGATTAACCTAATTAGTAATTGATAGATTGGAAAGGTTGATAAAGCTATAAAAGAGCTTATTCTACAAACAACTGTGTGTCTGAATGACAAACAAATAATTCTAATAATCATTAATAGTACATTGAGCATACATAATTTTTAAAATCTGTAACCTACAAAATTTCTATATTACTATTGTACTAAATCAAGAATGTAACATAATGAGATGAGACTTATTGTAACACATTAGAAATTAAATTAATGACAAAAATTGTATTTTGAATCTTTGTCCATAATCAAAATCTATCAAATTTTGAAGTTGTGATACTTGCTTTTACTGCTGTCTCTTATACACATCTAGATGTGTATAAGAGACAGCACCAGGATCATGCAAGGGGAATTTGGTTTATGGGGGGTTAGGTGCACTTGCCATTCCCTGGCACTAGCCACTGGCTCACTAGTGGACACCCACCACAACTCAAATTATGGCTTTCATTGTGCAAATCATTTTCTTTTTAATTTTTTTAAAACTTATTTTCATAAGATACTACTAATACTAGATAGATATTCTGATTGATTAAATGTAAACTATTGGCAGTCACCATCAATAGGTTGGCAAAAATTGGATCCTCATTTAAAATCATTTTTGAGATCAGGAATCGTCTTACCAAATATATTTGTTTAATACTTCAAAATATTTGAATAACTTAACATTACACTGTAGCTATCATATACAGATAATATTTATTGTCAAAGGCAAGTCATATAAAAACAAATAATTCAGGAAGCAGTCCAATAAAACAACTGACAGTGCAATAACAATATTAATGATATTATGATGTCATCATATCCTGCATATATTTTTTGTCATTTCAGATCTCACTTTGATTAATTAACTTTGATGTGTATTGAAACACAGTAAAATAATATTGTAATTCAGTAGAAGTTGATTGAAGAAGTTACTTACCACATCTGATAATGTTTTCTTGATTTTAGTTTTGTCAATCTTCATATTGATTACCTAAAATGTATTACCATCATCTGTGGAAAAAAACAACTTTGAATAAGAATTTTTTAGGGAAATAATTTCAATGGCGATACCTTGTCACATAATAGCTTTAGGGAAGACATTCATCTTTACATTACTGTTGAAAATGTAAACATGCCCTCAACAACATAAAATTTAAGGCTAAGGAAAAACAGCTTTAGATTCATGTTTATTCATTGAATATGAAAATAGCAGAGAGTACACTTTTAATTAATTGAAATTTTATAAAAACATTAGTTCCATCCATAGTATAGATAAAATATACATTAAAATGATTCAATTCTGAATCTGAAAGGCAAAGGAACAATTAGGTAAGAGAGGTTAGAAGGAGCTTGTTGGTATTTGTTATTTGTTATTTGGTATTAGTCTATTCATTTAGGTTACAAAGCGCATTGTTTTCCCTGGTCATTTGGTCCACATGCTTATGTCTTGAGATTAAAAGGTGGGAAACAAGAAAAATGAACATAATGTATAAGGTTCTTTTAATTTTTCTGTTAAACAATTCTTTATATTTTCATGTTTAAACTGCACCACTTTGAAAATCAGTGTAATAGCACTGAAAGTGCCTACAGCAGCCCATCATTTTTAAGGAGAGCGAGAGCGACCACGATCCTCCGCGTTCCTGAACACGCTTTAAGGAGAGCAACTAACCACGCTCCTTGATTTACCAGGAATTAATGACAAAAATTGTATTTTGAATCAATCAAAATCTATCAAATTTTGAAGTTGTGATACTTGCTTTTACTGTAATTAAATGTAGAATGGCAAACGTTATCTGCCCATGCGTGAACTTTGTATCACATGGTTCTGGGTTCTGTTTATGCGTGATCGATGTTGTTGCGTGATTCGCTAGAGTAGCAGGTCGTGAGTAGTAATAATAGCTAATTAGGCCTAGAATATTTTGAGTCAATATCGGCTTTTATTATTGATTGAATAATAGATAAATAATTATGCTCACTATATTCTAGTATATTAAATTAATATTTAAATTTGAATAAACTAAAATGATTGTTGAAACTCATACGGTCAGAAATTTAACGCATAAAATATACAGATGTCTACGCAAAAAAATGGGGATTTCCCTTGGCAATACATTGTTTTGATGAGAGTTTTCCTGGAGAATACAAGTATTTCCAGTTGTTTGTTGTTTAATAATTGGCTGATAAAAATTTGAAATTTCTTTATTTTAATGTTTGCAAATATGTCAATGTTTCAAAATAGATAAAAACTTCCAAAATGTTTGGAGACTAAAATAGGCATTACAGTACTTCGAGAGGGGTTTATTCCAAATGAGGCTCTGGAGTGAGAGTTTATTTAAGTGGAAGGCAGGGAAGGATTTGAGAGGGGGAGACTTGTTTCCTCCACGCGCACACAACCCCCCCCCCCCCCCGATTACTGATCGCCTAAAAATGCCTCAGAAGTTATTTCCGGGCGTCTAGAAAACAAAATTCCCGGGGCATGCTGAATCCCTTTAGGGTAGCGTTGTCTCTCGATCGCGCGCCCCTCTACTTCGGAAACCTGGATCCACCCCTGGGGTAGGGGGTGTCTATTCAAAGCTGTGAAATTTTCAAGTAGAGCAATTACTCTCCTTAGTAATCCGAGGAGAGCAATTTAGTGCTCTCCTGTGTTTTACATACGTGATGGACTGCTATAGTATAAAGAAAGAATAAATAATAAATGATGGAGGAACGTGACTAAGAGACAGTGCAAACAGAAAGAATTTTTTTTAATATTGGGACGGTCACAGAAAATTAATTTTTTCCCATTGAACTTACCCTCAAGTTGGATGTAGAGTAACATCTCCCAATTACGTGTACACCCCTCCGTCCGAACAGAGTTTATAATTGAGAAAATTCCTAATTCAGAATGTTCAAATTTTCATAGCATCTCAGTGTGGTGTGGGTAGGCATAGGCATTAGTCAAAGTACAAAGCTAGGTAGGCCTAAGTCTTGACATGGGAGCAAAACTCTTTATTGCACTCTTTGTTAAAACTAAAAACATAGCTGCATTTGTTTTACATCTGATCCAATGGAAGTATTGGATGGGACTATTCTGACCTTAGATCTGGTTTCTTTGTTTTTTTTATAACATAGGCCTATACATGTATACGTGTTCAGATATTTTCAAATAAAATATCATCAAATGTGTAATTAATTACAATCAAAAACCATTTATTATGTGTATTTTAAATATGAAATTAAACTGGATTTATTTGGTGTAAACAACAAGGTTAATAAGACTTTCTCTTTTGGGCATATTTTTATTGTGTCGAAAATTAGATTTTTGAACTAATCCTAATAAATAACCAATGTATTATGCAGCAATTACAATTCTACGCACATTTTTGAGGTATAATCCGTCAATTAAAATAAGGGCTGGTTTCTGTGCAGATCTTGCTGAAAATTAGGCTTTGTCCTACAGTAATCTTAATGTATAAATAATGTATTTATTTATGCAGTTTTTACAAATCCGCACACCAATTTTCCCTGTGATTTTCCGCACAAATTTGACCTGGTTTTTGAGATATTATCATGCTCGCAATTAAAAAACTTTACAGTATGGCTCCATCTTAATTCCTAGACTGAAAAAATTAAATCTGTTCTCTTTTTCTTATCAATATCACTCCCAAACTCGGCTCGATTACGAGGACTAATTCTAATAATATAGACATTCTACCTAAGGCCTTTTGTTAGGGCCTACCAGAAACTTTTTACTACCAGTATCACTCACTGCCAGGCCTAGCCAAGCCGTCTAGGTAGGCCAGGCCTAGGCCCCTACCTACTGTAGCTAGGCCTAGGCTAAGGCAAGGTTGATAATGACCCGACTTTTTTTATGATTGTGTTGGAATAACATATAAGCTTACTGCCACTTGTCACATTACTAGTTATAGTTGGAAATGTAAACGGTCAACTGAATGAAAACGTTGCAATAACTCACAGACAACCAAGAACATAAAAAGGTCTGGCATCGCCTCCATTGGAAAAAACGACACTTTTTCTCGAACAAAATTGGATTGCGAATGAACATGCCTTAAGATCATATAAATACATAAAGAATACCATTGCACAACCGTACATTAATGGATATGATATTTGTCTTTATTATCCTCATATTAAGTATACGTATGTGTTAATTTAATAACGTAAAAGCGTTGGAATCATAGAACAAATTAACAAAATCATACTCACATGTAGACCGCCATTTTGAACTGAGCAACAGCCCGCTGCGCGCACCCGGATGATCTCCAGAATTGTATACTGAATACAAAATAGCGTTCTGCTTAGTTAGTCACTCAACAAAACTGTTTTAAATCCAGTAATCAACAATTGGTAAAGATATATTTTTAATTTCGAATACATTTAATTATACCATTATTATCCAAATTGATTAAAACAAACTTCAAATCTATCCGATAATTTACGGTCATTTACACGTACCTCGACATACAGCCTAAAGAGGGCGTGTGCTAGTTTTCAAGTACAGTCAGTCTGTCAGTAAAGTAATACAGTAAATTAATGATAAAACTATGCTACTACTGGAATACTGTATTTTGCTTGCAGTGTGTGTACGAAGAAGCTAAAGTATTGTAGCTCCATTGTACTGTATGTACGGCTGTTATATAACTACAGTATATGATAGTAGGTGTACTGTTCTGTGATACCAAGGCTGATATGGTACTACTGTACTTGTAATTTATTTAAAATAAAATTACGCCTTCTGGAATATTCCATACTACCTGTATATATCGAGGTTAAAAATTTTAACCTCCTTGTATATATATAGCCAGGGAACAATGAAATTTCACTGTTCCCTGATATAGCCTAGCACTGGTAAATTCAAAATACTCCTGGTATTCAAATTGGAGAAGGTGTGGTGGTAGAGAGTGCCTACTTCAAGTAAAATAAATTTAATATTTTTTAAATGCTACTTTGTTTTATTAGATAGGAATAGGGCCTATAGCTCACCCTACCATAATTAAATGCTGCACCCAACAGGGGTCCCAAGTTCGAAGAAATCCTCTGTAAGATCTGGTTATAAATAAGCTTCTATTACAGGCTGGCTCCGTACGTATGTGTAGGCCAAGGCCCTAGTCTAGATATACAGGTACTTAATTTTATTTTACTGTGCATGGTAATACCCATCATTCTAATTATTATTTACAATTCAGATTATCCTTAAATATTATTTACAATTCAGAAGTGATATTACTATTTACAATTAAAGTTTTAAATTATAAATTAAATCATATTACATACTACAAAGACTGATAAGGTTCATAAAATATATAACAACAATAAAATGCAATAAAAAGGGAAATTTAATAATTAAAAACCTTAAAAATGTCATAATATAAATAATAATGGATAATTGAAGAGATCAAAGGCTGATAAATGACAACGTGGAATTGGTAGGGGTCTACGATATTCTTATTATGGTAAGGCATGATTAGTTTCAGGCAACATTTTTATGATGAATTTTCTGGAAATAAATCATACTGTAATTGTAAATTAAATATTATCCTAACAATGAACTCATGAAAAACAGTGTTACCCAAGCTAAGATTGTGTGGTGTCCACTGTGACTGGTAGAAAACCAAAATCCTGTTGACATGCCTCATTGGTCAGATCCAGCCAGCCAACCAACTAAAAATATGGAAAATCTAGGGTTGACTTTGCTGTACCCTTTTTTGCAACTAGATTTTGTTTTATTTTGATTTATTCTATTTATTGATAAACCCATACTTGCTTGTAGACCGTCAATCATGAATATTTATTAGTATCCCTGCTGTTATGAATATTTATCATTAGCCCTGTTGTACCATTTTAAGAACCAAAATATGTGGGGTGAGTGATGGTTGGCAATGAACCCTAGAATTAGAGCTGAACCAGCTAAAACCTAGTTATGCCACTGGATATAACATGCAGGTTGATTATGTGCCAAAGAGAATAAGGAGCTTTCAATTCCACGACACGGTAAAATCTAGAACATAATGACGTCATTAATATTTCATCTGCGCATGCGAGAACTTCAAGTTCTCCTCGTTATGTGAATTCAGGACGCAGTTTGACCAAATCTACATTACAGAGAACGTAATATGGTCACACGAGTGAGTGAACATGTTTTAGAGTCACATGGGCGTCGATCAGTGTGACAGGGGGGCATGTCCCCCACTTTTCGAAGTAGGGGATCCTAACACTTTTGATTGATTTAAAAAGTTCTGTACAATCAAAGAAACTGTAGAATTAGTTTAAATGTCACAAGCCTATTAGTAGATAATAAATCATTATTTTTATTAATGTAAATATATAAGCAGGCATGATTATGATTACCAGGTTAAATTGAAAAAAATTAAGATGAGTATTTCAGTGACAGATTCATGGGTGCCCAGCTGGCCCAACCTCCCTAATTTTTTTCAAAATTTAAATTGGAGAAAAAAGAAAATTATATTTAAATTTAAGTCTGAGAGTGCCATTTCCGGCCAACTAGAAGTGCCATAATCATAAATTTTCAACCATGGTGGGGCTGAGGTGGTCTACACTCCATCTGTAAAAGTCCCTCCCTGCCCATCCCCCACTATTTCGAATTTCTGGATGTACCCTGTAAATTTTATTTGCATTTCTTAAAATTAATTAGATATTTGACTTTTAAAATACTATGGACGCCCGAGCTTCTGGGGACTTTGCCTCCTGGACCCCCACTTTCCCCCAGCCAAAGCAGGCCTAAGACTTCCTTTTTTTGCAATTCGTCCCCCTCCCCACTTTTCGTCCCCACTAATGGATTGATCCCCTTGTAGAGTCACGTCGTCCCACAAATCAAAAGCTCCCTAATGCAAAGTAATTACCCTGATTTACAGAAGTTCGGGAAACAAAACATTTTCAGACTTATGAATGCAGTTGTGAAAAAGCCTGACAGAATAAAGGATGGCTCACTTTTCTCTTTTACACAGGGTAACTTGCTACTCTGCTGGATAACTTGGTACTTGCTGGGTAACTCGCTACTCTGCTGGGTAACTCGCTACTCTGTCTGCCCAACTTGCCACTCTGCTGGGTAACTATTTGGCAGTGGCCCAAAAGGTGTTTTCTAGAGACAGATACATAAACAACAAGTACACTGTATTTCTGTAATTTTATTTCATTTAAACAGGATTCTAACACTAATGCACAGACATCCAGCCCTACAAGTGATTTGTAACTGAAACTGTATCCAATTATGGTTCTCACGTTCATAACAAGTTAAAAAAAAATCACAATCATAAAACAATTAAAAATATTTAATCAACACAACATTCAATGTTTGAAACATTGTCATGAATATTAGCAATATCTTACATTATGATTACGCATTTTCATTTACCTGTTTATACATTGCCTATGTAATTTTTTTTAATATTTATAAATTGTTTGGCATCTACAGTATTAAAAAAATCTTAAGTAAAATCTGAGTTGCAAGTTATTGAAAAAGTTTGATTGAATGACCTTTCATATGAAAAGAAAACTTAAAATATACAGTAATTTAAAAAAGATATAGCATGAAATATTACAGTGCATCCTCCAATTCAAGACCCCTCTAATTTCAAGACCCCTCGAATTTGAGACCACTTTTCCAAAGACCCAAATAACAATCTTCAACCTTTTAACACAAAGCTAGCACTCTAATTGGAGACCAACCCCGAGACCACCACAAATGTTCAAGTCCCAAAGGTGGTCTCGAATTGGAGGGCGTACTGTTATTTAAAGACTTAGTATTGATATATAAAACTCAAAATGATATATTTATGGTTCATAGAGGTAATCTAATCGGTCATTACTACAGTATGCCTTTCTACAATGGCTTACCGGTAGTCAAGTATGGTGAACCCATGGAAGTAGGCCTAATAGACCAAAAGGTGTTTATATTTTCTGCATCTGTCTACTCAAGTTTTTGGTACCAATAGGTTCTTGATATGTACACAAGCACTGCAAATTAGGATTGCACCTACTAGACAGAATACTTGTGGTAAAACAATATTTTACCTGCCTCACATAATGAAACAGTTATATTTTAAACTTGGGTTCAACAAACTTTTGACTAAATGCTGCTCAAATTGAAATGAGGTACAATTACTACATGATGAAAACATAACACACATTATATACTTTATATGAAAACAATTAACACTAACAAGCAAACTTCATATCATATAAACCCTATGATTATCATAATTATAACTCAACTACAACTATATACTGTACCAGTAGAGTATCAAAATATGCCAAATCATTCATAGAAATCAAAAGAGTGTTTATTTGAAATGTCAATAACTAACTATGAGATAAATTAAAAGAAATTGTTTAGAAACATCTGGCATACTGGGAATGCAATGCTGAATAAAGTAGTATGTATACGATCCATGGGGCTAGTTTTGAATGGAATAGCCTACACATTCTCATACAATGTATTGCTTTACTGTTACATATTATTATTATAGAACAACAGACTTTACTGCTGGGAGTTAGGGGAAGATACAACTAGACAAAATGTGCAAATAACTTATGTATATTTGTTGAGCTGTTGTTGCCGTCAGTAAATAGCATGTATGGGCGCCCTCCAAACATGACAACATGCGCAAAATTTGGACAAGAAAACTCACACTTGGCACAGGCAATAAAAAATAGTCCTATTACCAGCGACAAGTTTACTCATCGTCTAATATTTTCCTACCAATTTATTACATACCATTGTGATGATTTATGACTAGATAAAATTTGTAACAAGAGTGACCGTTCACCAGTCTTAAATTTGAATATCAAGATGCGATTCCAACTTACGACCTTTGGTTTCTTAGAACACATCGTTAACCGACCGCACCATGCATGTCTTATTAGTGGTAATTGCAGTAATGTACAGTCCTTGATGAAACTCAGTTTTGTTTTGTAAGTGTATTGGGCTCCCTGGGGTTCAACTTTAAAAAAAGGGTCATGAACGTTTGTTGGAAATCACCTCTAGTTTATGTGTACAAAATTTCCTGCACGTCCGTTTAAAGTTCTGGTAACAACAACAGCAGTGAGAAAAAGTATGTTTTCATGTGTAAACTTGTAAACGAGACAGAAATTGTACAAAAGCCAATGAACATCATTGAAATAAAAAACTAATAGTTTGTTCTATTCACTCAAACACTTGAATATCATCTTATATTGAAAGTGCCTTCATTTGGTCAGTTATTCAATTAAACAAAATATACTCTGTACATTACTAGTCCGCTGCTGTGTTTTAATCATTTCAAGAAATTTCATATTCATTTTAATACTGTTAATATTACAGTGTTTCCAAATCTGTCATGAATCATGATGCTACATTTCTGTGTACAAAGTTAATATCTAAATTATATAAAACTAAGTGAATGGTGAAGTACAAAAAGAAACAAATGGATTAAAATGAAAGATAGATTTATAGGAAAGAGGAATTCCACTCCCTCTCCAATCTTTCTTTACTCTAATTCCTTAATTTTTTTAAGCAGGTGAAATAAAGGAGGAATTTATAGAATCCCACATAACTGAGTAATACTGATGAAAAAAAAAATCACACTGCTTTATGTAAATGGTGCAAGGTCTGAAGTATTTATGAATGCTAGATTCACTATCCCCTCTATCACAATCCCCCGAGTATGCCAAGCTCCCTATATAGTCAGAGATAACTTGATCTACCTCTACTAAAGATAAATATCCAAAAAATTATGTAAAATTAAGTGTATATAGAATAATAATACAAAAAAATTAGATGTTAGTAAATTTAGCTTTTACTTGACATCTCAAGGTCAATGAAATGAGAAAAATGGAAAAAAAAACCAATTGAATACCAAGCGAATATTAGCTATTGGCAGTCAGAGTAATTAAATAGTGTTTGTTGGCACATCCACGTTTTTCTCTGCCTCAGTATTATCAACATCACGTTTGTTACCAAAAAGAGATGTTTCTTTGTAAACAAACCAACAATTGCCACCCCACACTACAGCATTCAGGAAACCGAACAACTGAAACAAAAAATACATATATATTTGATTGTTTTTATAAGATGTATTTAGTAGTTAAATTCTTCTCTCAAGAACTTGACAAAATTGCATAATAATCATATCAAGTATACAGCCCTTCAACAAAGTTACTTTTTAAGTTGTGTCAAAAAAAAGTTTCTCTAAACAAAATGTATACAAATAAATAATAACAATAATGCTCAGATAGAACATGAGATGTTACAATCTTATCAAAAATAGCCCTTCAACAACAAGTTCTGTTTTCAGTTGGATGAAAAGAACACTGTCTTAACTGGATTCGAATTTGCAACTTCAAGGCAAATATCACACAATTAGACCATAATATGAATGTATCACATTGATGCATACTCTAAATTTGTTGGACATGCAGACTCATCAATTTGTTTATATATATTGCCTATGCTTTTAAATTAGATCATGGGAAATCATTCCAAAGTCTAGGAGCAGCAATTGAATACGCACTACCACCGAAAGTCTTTGTGCAACTACTGTAGAGGGAACAGTAATAGAGTGGATGCAGAGGTAGTTGATCTCAAACTGCATATAAATGTGGAAGATTGCAAAGTTGAAAGTTCAGAAATATAAAGATAGGTAGTTCAGTGATTTGTATAAATATATGAAGATATGAAGATATGAAGAAGCCCATGAAACCAATCGTGCTGCCATGTTAAGCTGCAGCTTACTAACTGACTTTTGCGGCACCCCATACAATAGACCATTATACAATAATCTAGTTTTGAAGTGATGAGTGCATGAATGACTTTCTTTGATGTATCTTCATTTAAGTATTGACGGATCTTCTTGATATTCCGTGCATAAATGCAACTGACTTGCAAGTACCAATAATACGCTTTTCAAGGGACACTAGTCAAATACTGTTCCACACCTAAGTTACGACAGAACAATAGTAGTGTTACCAATCTGAAGATAGCAGGTACGTGGAATGTTTTGCGTGAATTAATTGGTTTTTTCAGCTGGATGAGTGTAACAACTGGATGAGCGCCGGAAGCCGCAATCCAGTATCTCAACTTTAAATTGTAATTTTGTCGTTTTAATAACTTCTTCTATCCTGTTTGTTGTGTTGTATGTTGATTTTTGATGTCATATCGGCCATCTATTTTATTGATTTTTTTTAAATGTTACTTCTATGTTATTTCTATTTTTTCTAGTTTTATCATAATGTAATTTTATCCAAGTTGCCTTCAATTCAATTTTTATTGCCAAGGGCTTCTGTTTTCGAATGTGAATTTGTATCTATTTTCATATTGTGTTATAAAATGAGTTTCTATATGTAATTATATTTAATATGTATGTATTTTTCTGAATAAAATATACCTGAAATAAATGGAACACAACAAGTTTTTGACCAATCATACTTGGATATCATTGATATTGTACGCTTCCATCTTGGATTTGGCTGCATAGAAATGAGTTAAACTGGGCTTAAAGGAAATGTACAGTTGAGTATCATCTGCATAAACATGATACTGAATGAAATGTTTTTGAATTACTTGACTCAGAGAGAGAATATAAATCAGAAACAGAATCGGAAAAGAGTGGATCCCTGAGGAACTCCACAATTGACATTAAAGCCCCTAGGGGTTTTTTCAGCATAAGAGTTACAAGAGAATGCCGAGTTGCTAACTCGGCAAAAACTCATAGGACGATTCGGAAAGCTTGGAGTGGACTCTTACCTACTCGTAGCAGCTCTGAACTCGTGGCGCTAATTTTGAACATGTTCAAAATTATCGCCACGAGTAGATATCGCGTAGTAAACTCGAAGAACTCGTAGGTAGCTCGTAGAGTACTCGGGGTACTCCTACCTAGCTCATACACTACTCTGGATACTCGTCGGCGGTTTTGTCATCTACGAGTTTGATACGAGCACCCAAAAACGAGTATAAATAAGTACGAGCACACCGAGTTGGCTCGTACCCAACTCGTATCTAATTCGGTACAAACTTGTTAAGCTCTTAATAATCTCGTAGTTAACTCGGTGCTCTGCTCGGCATAATTCGTACATAACTCGTAATCCAACTCCATAAAGTCGTACCTCACTCGTAGCTAACACGTAATAAGCTCGTATAGGTCCTTTCCAAAGATCACAAGTTTTAACTCGTAGAAATCGCACGACTCTTAGGTGAAATAAACCTAGGTGAGAGAGGGGCTTAAGTCGGCAAGTGCCTCAAGGTTGTTAAACATTAGGCATTACATAAATACTGATTATTTTACTGTAGATCTGTTTTATTGATAATAAACCAAGCACAGTGGATGGTAATGATGGTGATAATGATCACAATGATGGCCATGACGATATGGCAAAGAGATGATAATGGTACAATTTAACATTCTGGTGTTGGTGGTGATGATGATGTCAATGATGATGACAATGATTACGAATGTAGTGGTTTACGATTAAAATGATGAATATAGCAGTCAGTTAGCTTAATCATAGAGTCATAAAGCGAATGTGGGAAATCAGGTTTTCTCTTGACAATTAGAATGCATTCTAGCTTTCCTTTTGCATGCTGAACCTCTAAAAAAATTTCTGCATTGTGTATTAACTCAATAATCTGTGAATTTACAGTTCATCAATCAGATGGCATTTGTTCTTCAATACCAATTTATCAAATTTATTTCACTATAATTGCTGGGATTACAATAAAATTTAACTTGATATCTACTTTCTTTGTGAATGACATGGTACTTACAGATAATGATGATGAATAACAACTGAATGACGATAATAGTGTTTCAAAATAACAATAAAAAAACAATTTGAATAACTTACGGCCATTGGAACCATATCCCAATTGAGATGCTTGTGTTCCAAAAAGACATACCAAGCGGTGATACCAATAACATAGAGAAAGGCAAGTACACCTATACATACGAAGAACTTAGCAGCTCCAGAAGCATCACCACCAAGGTAGTAGTCACCCATTGTACAACCTCCAGGTACAAGAACTTTGTTGAGTCTAAACAGGTGAGGTATGATGGCATGGAGAAATATTGTACATATGACAAATACGAATTACAATATACATTGTATCCATAAAATCAGATATTATTAATATGGAAAATGGGTGTTGTTATCTATGTGTGAAAATAGAGTAGAGATAATAAATACAGTTCGCTCTCCAATTCCAGACCCTCTAATTCCAAGACTCATCCAATTCAAGACCACTTAACAAATACCCACTAACTCCCTATCTTTTAACACTGAGCTCACCCTCTAATTCCAAGACTCCTCTAATTCAAGACCACTTAACAAATACCCACTAACTCCCTATCTTTTAACACTGAGCTCACCCTCTAATTCCAAGACTCCTCTAATTCAAGACCACTTACCAAGTACCCACTAACTCCCCTATCTTTTAACACTGAGATCACCCTCTAATTCCAAGACTCCTCTAATTCAAGACCACTTACCAAGTACCCACTAACTCCCTATCTTTTAACACTGAGCTCACCCTCTAATTCCAAGACTCCTCTAATTCAAGACCACTTACCAAGTACCCACTGACCCCCTATCTTTTAACACTGAGCTCACCCTCTAATTCCAAGACCCCTCTAATTCAAGACCACTTACCAAGTACCCACTAACCCCCTATCTTTTAACACTGACCTCACCCTCTAATTCGAGACCAAAACCAACATTATGGAAGTAACAAGTGACAAGATACCTCCTATTGAAGACCACATTTGAAAATAAAATAAAACAGATTTAAGTTTTTAACAAGAAACATTCTAAAATTTGGAGAAATTGAACTTCAACATTTACAGATATATTTTCATAAGTTCATCCATACAACTTAAGGTTTCTAAGATTATTCTCTTTGTATCTTTTTGTGCAAGCTGGTTTTTGAAAAGGAATTTATAACTGACTGCTACCCCTAATACAGATATAGGATTTCAAATTTAGTGGGGTATGAGATCATATCCACACCAGCCCCCAACCTCTAAATGTCTGGAAATTAATGTTGACAACCTCTAGAGCCACTACCCCTCACCCTCAAATGCATTCACAAGATTTAAAGTTAGCATGGTTATTGAGCCTATTGGAAATATGGCACCTGGATACCCAAAAATAGCAGCTGGCAAAGATGTAGAGCCTCACCCTCCCCCATCCTCCTGCACAATGACGGGCACAAGATTTAAAATTAGTGGTGACTAGAGTTCACACCCTGCTCAGCCCCACCATGGACAAATAGAGGCAAATGTAGGTCTACTGTGACAATGATAAACTGTTGAAAATTTAATTTCTATCAGTCAGTGCCATAAATAGATGGATGAATTAAGTTGTTTATTCTTCTATGAATAAATAAAGAGCGAGGAAAATGAATATATTATAGTAGAATGAATAACTAACAGTGCCTGGTTTTGGTTGCATACTGTTAATATTTACACAATGTGCAAGGTATTGTGAAATATTAACATATGCAATTAAATAAACACATGTTATGTATTCACTGGAAGCAATATGCTATGCATTATGAAATGGGCCTACAAATATGAATACCGTAGAGTTTAAAATGACATACAGTAGTGCTGGTACAATTAAATTTACACCTTCCGGACCTTGCCAAATTCGGCCTGAAGTATTTTAGATGAGTTGTACTATCACTTGAATTGTTAAAAGTCTTTTAAGTATGTGCTCCCTTACATTTGCTTATGCTAGGCATTACACAGATTTCACATTAACTTTCAATAGTCAATTCTTAGTTTATTTGTGGCAGACAGACCATGTAGATATACAGTACCTCTATGGATAGATCTAGGCCTTCCAGGTGATAAAGGCATAATTAACAGAGCACTAAGATTCAAGGGTGATCCACCTTTTTTCGTGAAAGGGTGGAGGGGCACACTATTAGAATGTGGTTGGTTTTACAAGGGGGGTTCCAGAGGTCCTGCTGTGAAAACTTTGTTAATATGGGTGCCCAGAAAAAATATGAAATACAGTAGAACACCTGCTTTGGTACATTCCTATTCAGGGGATACACCTTAAGGGGACACTTTTTGATGAAATGAGGAAAAATAGATCTTTTAACGCTACAGCCAACCCCAAAGAGACATTATTATGAGGATGGGGACACTTTCTGTGTTGGCCAAATAGTCAAATAACCCCTATTAAGGCAGTGTTTAAGTTGTCATTAACCAAATCCTAATAAAAGCTAAATTTTAATAAAAAAATTTTAATTTAAAATTAGCCAAAATTTTATTTTTGCTAATCAAACTTCTATTTGGCAAATTATTTTCACACCAAATTAGCCATATTGCTAAATATTTTTTTGCCAGCTTAAACTCTGTTAAGGGGACCCTTATTTTTTTTTTATTGTATTACAACTGTGAGCAGTATTAAAAAAAGAAAAACTCATTTAACTTTATAATATTTTGAGACCTTTTGAGCAATAAACCAGAATTTTCGCCACTGAATCCTTTGATTGACCATCGGCATGGCCTAATGCATGCGTTACTTTGTATATTGAACCAATCTTGCCAATTTTTTACCCGTAGCCATGGGGATTTCTTTTTCTTTGTTTTTCGTGTACATTCATGTAGGATTCTAATCCATACCATAACATGCACACTTAATTGGAAATCGTTACTCTATTTGTTACATCAAACCAATAGAAAGCTCATATTCAGAGTTCAAAGATATTTGGTCACTAAAATTGCACCATGAAATAATATTGGGAACATATAAAACAATTGTTGTTTTAATTATATTTTAGCTGATTTCATATGATAATTTAATTGTATATGCATTGAAAAATACTGCTATAAATTCATTCTAATTCTACTGTAACTGATTCTTACTGATATGACAATAAAAATAAAGTATAAGAATGTCATGTTTTATAAAAACAAGCTAAAAAACCCTATGCACTAGCCGAGTATGTCTTTTTTTTTTTTTTTGCCGTAATAATTAGACCATTTAGACAAACAGATGATAATTGGAACAAACCGGGACTTTAACATACGAAACCTAAAAAATATGATTGGAAAAAAAACTTATGATGAGTTAAAAAGGTTGTTTATGTTTTCATATTTTTTTCAATGTGTTTTAAACAAGTAGGTACAACATATTTAAACAGCAAACATAAGTTTCTTGGAAACAAATAAATGGTTGTCTCATGTTGTCTTTTGGAAACCACTTCGAGTTTCAGTCTTCATTTAGAGTTTCAGGTTCGGTTACCCTCTAATTATGCTGTTTAGAGACCACTCTTAGACTGTGGTCTCTATTTAGAGATTTCTAATTTGAGACCAGACCCCAAGACCACACCAAGTTTCAGATAAGTGGTCTCGAATCTGAAGGCGGACTGTATTAATTCAAAACTTAGGTGGACAAAACTGTCTTGGCTGCTAATTTAAACAACAAAAAAAACAGGTTGGTGCACTTGGTAGAGGATAGCACAATTTTGGAGACAAATTGACATATACTCATTGGCCGCTTACTATTTACTAAGCACTTAAGTATAAATACACATGCTCACTGGTATCTCACCTAGTTAGCACTAAGTACTTTTTGAAATAATGCTAATGCTATGACTTATACTTAGTTGATGTAAAAAAATGCAAACACTGGGCTTAAAACTAAAGTCAGTTCAATATGTGCAGCTAATACTGTTTAATACTATGGAATGGACTAAATACCAGAGTATAAGTTCAGTAGTACTTACTCAAAAGGATAAGCGATTTTGAACTTTTTATTTTGTGGCCCACCAGTGTTATTACAGGTGATGGTATACCGCAATTCATCACCATAACCTGCTGTGGTAGCAAACATACAAACAGCAAGAATCTAAAAGAAAAAGCAATGAAAGTCAATCATTTTGTTGTATTTCCTTGACATCCAACAGCAAGTACACTTGCCACTTCAGGATGGAATGATGCTTTGTAAACTAAGTCTCTTTTATGAGGTTTAAGGAGTAGAGTTGTTTTTTAGTTTTTTAGAAAAAAAATCCTGCAGTGACAGGCTTTGAACCCAAGACTCTAGGACTGGAAAGCAGGCATCTTACTCAACAAGCTAAAGCTCCAATCCACAATTACAATAAGGTTATAGAAACATGTTCATGTAATAACTCACATTTATAAAATTGCCAGTTTGACAATTAATGACAATAATAAATGTATAGTAAATATTACAATAAAGCATGGATTGTTATAAAATATTACTGATGGGCTTCAGTTTCAGTTTCAGTTTATTTGTTTCACACAATGAACATAATAAATGAACAAGATATAAGAACCTATTATAATAATTCAATTGTTTTGATTCATTAACTTTAAAAGATAACAATAATATGATCAAGATAGAATTTCATAGTATGGATAACACTATAAATTTAAATACTGTTTAATGGATACAGTGAATATTCATTGTGTGTGGAGGAAACAATAAGCCAGAAAGGCTTTAAGTCTGATTCTCCAAAAAGAAACATATACTGAATTAGTAAATGGCTAGTGATAAAAAAAAAAAATAATAAGGAAACAAACAGGAAAAAAATAAAATAAATAAAGTAGATAATAAAGGTAGAAAAAAATGCTTCTGGGTGTAACAAATAAAAATTAAGTAATAATCAGGAAGAAAAGAATAAAATGAAATGAGATGAGATGAAGAGGATTGTATTTTTAATATTTTTCCACAATTTAATTTAATAGAGGAAAATGAATAACTAGGATGCATACTTATCTATTAGGGATTGTTTATATTTTCTTTTAAGAGATTTTAAGGTGTGTGTTAATTTAAGTTTAAAAGGTAAATTGTTCCATATGTATGGCCCATTATAAATAAAAGATGACCTCCTTAGTAACGTAGTGTGGCTTTCATAAATAAAATTTTTGACGGTTGAAGACCTGGTATCATATGAATGGTATTGGCAGAAGTTA